GCCTGTGCGCTCAAAATTTAGAGCCCGTCTTTCGACATATTTTCACGTCGTACCGGTCATATATATGTATAATAGAAAAACTTCGCAAATTTCAAAAACGGTTAAATATGTCAATCAACTCCTCATAAACAAGTGTAAAATAAATAAAATAAAGAATAATTTAAATACAATAAAAGAAGTGTGTTTGAATCAGCGCATTCCAGAAAAAATAAGTAACACGGTTATCCGGCCATTATGGTTATAACTTGTGGTGCATTTCTGAAGTGATACCCTACTTTGCCACATTATTGCGATATTTGAATAAAAATGAAATTAATAAAAAAGTTAAGATAAGATATGTCAACTTATTTGGATTCAAGATACAAAATGAACTTTTTGGTGCTGATTTAACTAACGAAGCAACTCTAAAAAGAGGATACTTTTGGAAGCTTTCATACTCATATTCCAAGAAATGGATTTTACACGAATTTTTAAAATTTAATCGGCGGAAATTGCAAAATTCTAAAAAATTGTCGATTTTTTCAAAAATTTATTTCTCAAGAACTAAAACCGATTTTTCAAAACGGCTTGTTGCATTAAAAAGAGGATACTTTAATTAATAATTGGTGATATTTCCACAAGGATCCTTCAAGAAATTAATTTTATAGCGAATTTTGAAAATTATCGATGAAAATTGCAACATCGAAAATTTTATCAAAACTTCAAATATTGTTTTCTCAAAAACTAAAAGTTATTTTTCAAAACGTGTTGGTTCATTGGAAAAAGGACACTCTTATTAACACTTTGGGAAATTTTTAAACTCATATTCCAAGATATGGATTTTATACGAATTTTTAAAACTTAATCGGCGAAAATTGCAAAATTCGAAAAAATTGTCGATCATTTCAAAAATTTATATCTCAAGAACTGAAAATGATTTTTCAAAACGGGTTGTTGCATTAAAAAGAGGATTCTTTAATTAATAATTGGTGATATTTCCACACGGATCCTTCAAGAAATGAATTTTATAACGAATTTTTAAAGTTATCGATGAAAATAGCAACATCGAAAATTTTATCAAATCTTCAAATATTGTTTTCTCAAAAACTAAACGCTATTTTTCAAAACGGGTTGGATCATTGGAAAGAAGACACTTCTATTAACACTTTGGGAAATTTTCATACTCATATTCCAAGAAATGGATTTTATACGAATTTTTAAATCTTAACTGAAAGTGATTTTTCAAAACGGTTTTTTGCATTAAAAAGAGGATACTTTAATTAATAATCGAAAGTAATAACAGCGACAGTTCTGTTAGTAATGAATGTGATAATGAATTATAAGCGAAGAGAAGAAAACCAGACGAAACTGCAACAAGAGATTTTATATATAATAATAATAATATTTATTGACAACTCGTACAGAGATTACAACTCACAAAATAAAGGAAATAAAATAAAAATAAAAAATTAACGTAACTTCAAAAGTTGTCAAAAAGAGTCGAGTCAATGCACCCAGTAGGGTACTATTGCTTTTCATCGACCCTTGAAAATTTTGAAAAACAAGAAAAAAATAAACAAAAAAAAAAGAATGCAAGAAAAATAATAATAATACATAAGAGAAACAGGACGCAGGTACTTGATATAACAGCATGATATATAAAATAAAATATTTTGAGACAATAAAATTATACACATAACAATTTAAATTTATATAAATTTCAATTGGGTCGCCTCAGCTGAATTCCCTCTTCTGTTGAAGTAGCAAATGTTTTAAACTCTTCTTAAATTTTATTCTTCTTATCGTTTTGGAATTGTAGAGGTTGTTAATGACAAATCTGGTATAAATAAAGTTGTATTCAATGAAAAAAGTCCTATTGGGGTTGAACCAGATTATTATCTGCAGTATCCAACACCTAAAAGAGATGCTAATTCCTGTGAATAGTCCTCTGAATGGTGGAGTACTAAGTAATAGGTGGAGTACTAAGTAATAAGCATCAAGTTTTGCACCAGAACTAACACAAGACCTAGAACTAGAATCATTCGGGTTTAATCGTCTTAAAAGACATTCGGCTAGTGTTAGGTTTAGTGTTAGTTCTATTTGTAGTTCAATAAGAAGATACAACAATCTAGCCCTGAATTAAAAATATTTTGTTCGTTATATCTGAACGCCGGCGCCGTTCTAATCAGATTCGTTATATCAAGATTGTAAGTAGTGTACTATTATAAAAAGTAAATCAGTGAAGAGAAAAAATATATGTTTATCTTGTTAATTTTAATTTAAAACAATAAATCGTCTGCGGCTAAACAAAAAAATCAATACGGCGAGGCGGGGAATAAACGTCACGTTTCAACGCTGGTACAGGTTGTGCGAATGTAGTTTTTTCCCTCCCCCCGCGATCCACCCCTTGCTTTTGAAATATGAAACTGTTGGCGTGCGCCGACACGATTGTCCCACATTTCCCCAATTTCAACGAACAAATCCTCTGTCCGATTAAAAGAAACGTCCTCAATCTACCTTTATCTCTAATCCATCACCCACCCAATTTATCACTATATCATTTTAAACCGAACCTCACCCCGATTTTAATCAATTTACAAGTCACCTATTAGTAAACGGAGAAGATTAAAGGCAGAAGTTGATAACGGAATCGAATAAGGGGTGAATCCTCTGGTTGACGATGAGGCGGACCTTCTTGCACGCCGGAAACGTAACCGAAGGGGACGTAATTAGGTTCCGGATGTAACGTACTAATCGTCGTTCGGTCGAATCGCTCCCGCAAAAACCGAACCACCCCGAATCGACGATGAGGAAATTGAGAAAATACTAGATTTCCCTTGGGGGTCGTATCTCCTCGGTAATTAGCTGGGAAATCTCGAATTAAACGCGAAACGCGGGGTAGATAAATATGTCTTTATACGGCGCAAACGTGCAATTGATTTGAAATAAAGAAGAGAAGCGGAAAAGGATTCCAATAATTACAGTTACTCACAAAATTGAGCATACAGGGAAGATACAGCATTACTAAATCACCCCCATGTTTAACTGTTCCCACCAAATTCTTGTTTTTTGAACTCACAATTTCGATTCCTCCAAACTATTTTCCCTTCTGAACCCTAAAGAGTAATTTTAGTATCATCAGTGAACATTAGGGCTAAATCCGAATGATTCTAGTTTGTCTTGTGTTAGTTCTAGTGATAGTGCTAGTGTAAAACTAAAACCAACACTATACCTAGAACTAGAAACATTCGGATTTAGCCACACGTCTTTTAAGACGGCTAAACCCGAATGATTCTAGTTCTAGGTTTTGTGTTAGTTCTAGTGATAGTGCTAGTGTAAACTAGAACTAACACTAGATCTAGAACTAGAAACATTCGGATTTAGCCGATCGTCTCTCAAGACGGCTAAACCCGAATGATTCTAGTTCTAGGTCTTGTGTTAGTTCTACTGATAGTGCTAGTTTAAAACTAGAACTAACACTAGACCTAGAACTAGAAACATTCGGATTTAGCCGCACGTCTGTTAAGACGGCTAAACCCGAATGATTCTAGTTATAGGTCTTGTGTTACTTCTAGTGATAGTGCTAGTGTAAAATTAAAACTAATACTAGACCTAAAACTAGAAACATTCGGATTTAGCCGCACGTCTCTCAAGACGGCTAAACCCGAATGATTCTAGTTCTAGGTCTTGTGGTAGTTCTAGTGCTAATGCAATACTAGAACTAACACTAGACCGAGAACTAGAAACATTCGGAATTAGCCGCACGTCTCTCAAGACGGCTAAACCCGAATGATTCTAGTTCTAGGTCTTGTGTTAGTTCTACTGATAGTGCTAGTTTAAAACTAGAACTAACACTAGATCTAGAACTAGAAACATTCGGATTTAGCCGCACGTCTCTCAAGACGGCTAAACCCGAATGATTCTAGTTCTAGGTCTTGTGTTAGTTCTAGTGATAGTGCTAGTGTAAAACTAGAACTATCACTAGACCTAGAACTAGAAACATTCGGATTTAGCCGCACGTCTCTCAAGACGGCTAAACCCGAATGATTCTAGTTCTAGGTTTTGTGTTAGTTCTAGTAATAGTGCTAGTGCAAAACTAGAACTAACACTAGACCTAGAACTAGAAACATTCGGATTTAGCCGCACGTCTGTGAAGACGGCTAAACCCGAATGATTCTAGTTCTAAGTTTTGTGTTAGTTTTAGTGATAGTGCTAGTGTAAAACTAGAACTAACACTACACCTATAAGTAGAAACATTCGTGTTTAGTCGAATGTTTCTAGTTGTATACTCAATTTTGTGAGCAACTGTAGATTGATTTTGTTTTTTTGTTACACGGATTGTTTTGAATGAATTAAACGAAGTTGAGAAACATAAATATGTAATACAACCAGTTCTTGGATTATCTCGTCATGAGAAAGATTATCTCAAGGAGATTTGAGTTAAGTTGAGGAAATTCAATTAAAAATGTTTTGTTTATTGTAGGACAAAACAATGCGGAATAAAGTGATATAGAGAGCTCTGTAGATTATAGATAGATGTTTTTCACGGTGTGAAAGTTGTTTTTAACCTCCACTAGAATATTTATTATTTCCTGGCTTTAGTTAGTAACAGAGTTTCATTTTATCGTGTACACAAACTGATGGTATACCCTCGAGGCGACGTCTGCCTCAACTTTATTCAACTTTTAATACGTATTTTACCTGCACCGAGCATCGAGCGTCTAATTAACGCGATTTTTTCTAGTATTAATTTTTTCTTTCCCCGTTGCTTTCGGGGTTCCCCCTTTTCCTCGCTGTTAAAGATCGATCCGCCATTGTTCTTGAGGATACCGTCGCGACTCTGATGTGTTAATTTGGCGAATTTCGTGCAAGTTTTGATCGGCGTCTGGCGGAGGGCACGCGTTGAACGAACCCCCGGACTCAACCGATCAATATGACGGGAATCGCAGGGGCGTTGTTGGGCAGCGCTAGTGTCGGCCCGGTCCGTGGCGCGAGAGGTCGCTGGTGTCGCGCGTCGTTTCCCCTAAACCACCCCCGTACAGGACGACGTCACCTGTCCGTGCAAGTGCAGTTAAACGAGACCCTTCGGTACTGGAAAGTGCGAGACGCGTTGCAACATGTTCCCGGGCGGCGATTTTAAGCTTTCAATCGTCGCGATTTTTTCTATCTTATAAATTGTGGTAAAAAAGAGCGCCCTCTGGTAACCTGGCAAAGACCGCCGATTGTATTTAAGGTGTGTTCGTCGCGTTTCTGATTGTTAACCATTTCTCAAAGAAATCTGCGTTCAATTCATTCCTCCTGGATCTAATAGGTAGTTATGTTACTTAGTTTAAAAAAAAAAATTTTTTTTGGTTTGGCAAAGTGAAAAAGTGACTATTTCTGTGTTATCATATTAATTTTGCATTCAAAAACATTTATTATACAAACAATTTTAAATCAATTCCTTTATTACCGGCTCCTCCACCAAAATTTAACTCCATCAAAAAAGCTTAAATTTAATAAATATCAAATTTTTTCTTTACACACATCAAAAAGTAAACTGTAATTGAACTTTTTTGTTAATTTAACGTATAAAATGAACACTCCAGTTTTCGAATTGGTCCTAAAATGAACTGTTAGAGTATAGATGAGTACAGGGACACACAATAGGCAACTTGTCACGTGAAAAGGGCATGCGATTGACAGGTCATTCTGACCCCGGGACAGAAACAAAGTGTAATGAAAACGCGTTGTTCCCTTTTAAATGGAGAGTCTCCTCTCAGTTAAATGACCCAGTCACCCCCCAAAAATCGATGGGAATATTGTGTATTAATACCCTGGTTGTTCTAGATTAAAATTTCTTTTAAACTAATACTAGCACTATCACTATCACTAACACTAGACCTAGAACTAGAATCATTCGGATTTAGCCGTCTTAAGAGACGTGCGGCTAAATTCGAATGATTCTAGTTCTAGGTCAAGTGTTAGTTCTAGTTTTACACTATCGCTAGAACTAACATTAGACTTAGAACTAGAATCATTCGGGTTTAGCCGCACGTCTCTCAAGACGGCTAAACCCGAATGATTCTAGTTCTAAGTCTAGTGTTAGTTCTAGTTTTACACTAGCACTATCACTAGAACTAACATTAGACTTAGAACTAGAATCATTCGGGTTTAGCCGCACGTCTCTTAAAGGCTAAACCCGAATGATTCTAGTTCTAAGTCTAATGTTAGTTCTAGTGTTTCTAGTTCTCGATTTAGTGTTAGTTCAAGTTTTGCACTAGAACTAACACAAGACCTAAAACTAGAATCATTCGGGTTTAGCCGTCTTGAGAGACGTGCGGCTAAATCCGAATGTTTCTAGTTCTCGGACTAGTGTTGATTCGAGATTTGCACTAGCACTATCACTAGAACTAACACAAGACCTAGAATCATTTGGGTCTAGCTGTCGTGCGGTTAAATTCGATTTTTTTAAGTCTTAGTTGTTCCCTTTTAAATTTAGAGTCTCCTCTCAGTTAAATCACCCCCTAAAAATCGATGGAAATATTGTGTATTAATACCTTGGTTGTTCTAGATTAAAATTTCTTCTAAACTAACACTAGAAATAACACTAGACTCGTTATCGTTAGTGTTAGTTCTAAATTTGCAATTCCAATATAAAAATTTACATACAATGTTTCAAAAAATAAAACAAAAAAGATCAAACGAACTTTTTTAACGGATTTAACATTGTTGGAACATACAAAATTGGGTGTTGGAAACGGTGCAATTATCTGGATGTTTACATGCATTGCGTGTTACAAATTTTATCGTTGATCTCTTTGCACAAATCCAGAATTTGATTTTAAAATAATTCCGATTAATATTTTTGTTTTTGCAGGTTTTAATTGGATTTTTATACTTTGTTAAACCCAAATTTGTTTTGTTGGTAATAAATATTCGATTTAGAAATTTCGATTTTATTTGTTGGGTATCGAACGTTTTGGCTATCAATTCTGGCTGCCAGAAATCCCTTAACGCCTGATTGGAATTGCAAATATTGCGGCATTTGCTCTACCCAATCTTCCCCTATTCCCAATTCAGTTATGGTCGACTATTAAACCTCAAAACGGTGAATGTTAATTATTTTCTATTTTAATATTGATTGGATTTAAAACTATAGAAGCCGCTTAGGCACTTTAATTTAAATTCAAGGCACAAAGAAAAATTTAATATCGTTTAAAAATATCAACACTCTATCGACCGTATAAAATGGAATTTAGTAAAAGCATTGCCAGTTCAGTTTTGTAATCGAGATTTGATCGGATCCAAAACAAATACATACACTCGCATACCCTGAATGTAGACTCTAGGCACAAATGGAATTGTTCCGTTAGCGGCTTCAATAGCGATCTTATTTTTAGAAATTCCGGTCTCGCGAAAATTGCAACTCGATAACAAAACGCGACTCGCTTTGTTCGGTTTATTTTTGATTTCTCTATTGAGAAACGTTCTTCGTTATTATTCTCAATACAAATCCAAGCTTAAGCAACCCAACAAAGCTTTCGTATATCTTTATCGAATTAAAATTAATAAATCTTTAATAATTTTTTTATTATAGGAAAGCTGGCAATGAAGTTACGCTAGCAAAGAGTATGGAAGAGCCGGGATGGGCATGTGCACAGACCCAAGGGGCAAATTTCGTCCATTGACCATCGGATCGTCTGTACCATTGCTTACAACCGCAGCGTTCTACATTTTTATAAACACAGGTAAGACAACTTACAAAGTTCTTTTTTTAAATTTATTAGAATAGGAAAGATGTTCGTTAAAAGTGATATTATCTCTTTAAGCACTTCCCGGACAAATACGTTATGGAATCGCGTAATTACAACACAACTTCCTGTATTAAATGCAATTTAAATTTGAAATGAATGCGTGACCCTTGTGTATTTTTAATCTTTATATTATGGAATCAGCACACCTGGTATAATTAGTAACAACCGATACTACCACAATTCCTCAGTAGTCACAACTAAACTAAACTAGTTCACTAATGTATATAATTTTCAGATATTCCAATATTGATTCATAGAGATATTAATAATACTCAATTTGTTAGATATTCTAACACAGTTTATAAACCCAAGCATTTATTTTCATTTATTTGTATAGCATCTGTTGCAACAAATTCTGGAATTCTGGAATCCCCAAATCTTTTTTCAACCTAGGACAGCTCAGTCTTCCAGCCATATACTTGAACTTCCCTTCCAAATGCAAAGAGAATTTAATTGCATCAATCGCATATATAGTTCACTATCGAGGCGGGATGCAACAATTTCTGAATTCTTTGATAATCAGAAAACCAGATCAACATATTTCTCTGGAACCTCCCTACTCAAATTGGTACATTAATCTCACTACAATTTAATGTTAAAATTTTTAAAGGTGTGAAGCAGAATTTTTCGTATTTCATACTTACAGTAAAGTTAAAGATGGGAGCCTCAAGATTCTTTCGAGATCTTCTGTAATAATAGGCTTCCACGTTCGCTTGTTAACGCCACTCTCGTCCTTTCCAACTGAATCGATCTACGACTTAACTTTGTGATGATGAGAACCCTCCAACACCTTTGAAGTTTATGAAACTTTCCTTCATCCCACATGTATCTGATAAAATGGGCAAGATTTTCTTTAATAGTCCCTTGAAATTTACAAAATTCATATTAAAATCTCTAAAAAGTTGTGAAAGACCTTAATCTTCAATTAAGTAGGTATTATTTCTGCACAAAACTCAGATAAGGAGTTTAATAATTAAAAACTAGATTGTCGATGTATTGTTGAAGAATTGACAAGATAAACATTAGAAAGAGATAATAATAATAGACTTTATTAGAATGGAATGGCACAAAATACAAATAAAACTAAACATTTTTTGATCTTTACTTTAAACGGTGACAAGCTCCACATTTTCAATGATTGGGGTAAGCTATTATAAAATTTAGGTAAGTTGTAAGAGAATGATATCTCAAATAATGTAGTAACATGTAGCGGTGGTGTGACAATACCCTTGCTTCGAACATTTAAGCTATGGACATCAGTGCGGAATATAATCTTATCATACAAATAAGATGGACATTTAAGCAACAGTAACTTATGATAAAATGAAACCATATGCTATATGCGACGGTTAAACATATTCAGCCACGTCGAAGCCCGAAAATCATTCGGACACATAAATTCTGAACACGCTGAATCCTTTGTGATGTTCTATATACTATATCACAAAAGCTAAAATGGCTCAGCACTAAGGAATAGCAAAACATAACCTTTGTGCTGCGATTTAAAATATTCCTCATGCTAAATATGAGCTTCAAAGCAGCAAATGAAATTTTTATTTTGTCCAGGATGTGCTTTTCGAACCTAAGATTCGAGTCGAGTTACAATCCTAAATTTCTAGCACACTCCCTAACACCAATACATTTACCACCAATATTGATGTTAAAATTTTCTGCAAGAGAGTCTCCTGCTAAAGAGTATAATCACTGATTTATTTGAATTTATTCGTAACGAGTGTTTAGTGGATACATCTTTCAGATTATTTATGTCCTCACTCAATTTAACTTGAGGAGTGACCATGTCCTTAGGCAAGAACGATAGATAAATTTGGGAATCGTCCGCATAAAAATGTAACTCTGAATATTTCAAAACTGTCGAAAGATAGAATTTTAACCGATTGTTGTCTGTCTGACACATAACTATCAATCATGCTCACAGCAGAATCATTGAACCCAATAAAGGATAAGATAGCTGATAACATCCTATGATTGACAGTATCAAAAGCCCTACTGTAGTCTAGCAGAACCAATCCAGTAAGCCTATTTTGATCCGCGCATATGTCATCAACTATATGCGTTAATGCTGTATCGCAACTGTAGTTAGCACGAAATCCAGACTGTGTCCTAGGCAAAATATTAAGTTTATCGACAAATTCCCGAATTTGATCATTCATAATTTTTTTTAAATATTTTAGACAAAACAAGTAAAATACTAATTGGTCGCAGGTCCGAAAATGACATAGGATTTTTAATCTTTGGCAAAGATGTTACCAAAGATTTCTTCCAACATTTTGGAAAGATTGACCTCGATAAGCAAATATTAATATTATGTGTGACCTAAGGAATGATGAAAGGACAACAGTAATGTATCATCACAACCGAGAGTTCATCATATCCCACACTGCCAGATTTGATATTCAACAAATGGCAAGTTACAATATGCTCCGAGGCAGGCACAAAAGCAAACAATTCATTAAAAGTAGACTTTTTCATAGTAGTATAAGCCTGAACTAAGTCTGGATCAGCGATCATTGAGTTTTCATGTTGTGGAAGTACCTGCTCTTTTGATTTGATAACATGCCTTAGTGATTTCCAGAGATCCCCGGAACTTTTATTTTTAAAAGATGATTCATAGTACGCCTTCTGCCCGGTCTTTATTGCGTGTGCAACATGTTTTCTAAAAGATTTGTATTCATTAAGTGCTAGTTCAGTTTTAGACTTTTTGTATTTGCTGTAAAGACCATCTCTAAGCCTAATCATGTCTCTAAGCAGAAGAATAGATTTTTTACTAAGCCTTACCATCTTTACGGGTGCATGAGCATAGAATAATGCTAAAATTAAATGGTTAAAGTATTGTAATTTCACATCAACCTCATCAATTCCATACACCAGATCAAACGGCTGCGATTGAAGATCCAACGTGAAAAAATTCAAGTTAAATGTAGCAAAATCTCTGTAGGTTCTGATCACCAGGCTCCTCCCCTCATCCAGAACACTAAGGCAAAAATATATCAATTCATGATCAGTAAGGTCATGAAGAGACCATCTGGTTAGTTGAGAAAATGTGTTTGTTGGGGGGTTTATACTTATTTCTTTGGTTCTGATCTGTCATTGCAAACCTTCAGCAGAAACACCACTGGGTGTTCTCAGTATCTACAGCTAACTATCTTGGTCTGTCTCGGGTGCACGTTTTTGTTCAGGAAACATTCTTAAAACAAGCGTTTTGGTAATTTCAACGTTTCTATGAAGCAACCTTGATTTGAGCTTTATGGAAATCAGCTTCGACTTATTGAAATGTGCTGGAGTTTTGAGGTTGAGAATCTTTAAAGACGATCCTCAATATTACCCAACCCAACATTGCTCGCCTTTCGAAGTTATTGATTTGTTGATAACACGATGCGTTTTTCTTCTTCCTTCGAAGAGTTGTCAGCATCTTCTTTTCTGAAGGTGTAGGAACCTTTGTGATGTAGTCAACATCGAGTTTTTTAGTTTCCTAGATATCCATGAAATTTACTTTCAAATCAAGAATACATATAAAATTTTAAAATGATATTAAAACAAGTGTTCCAAATTGTTTCCAATATTTTGTATGCACAATTGGGTTCGCTGAATCCACGATGTCCCACTAGCGTGGCCTATACCAGTATCTAATTTTATAATTCTTGCTCAGTATTAACTTCCTCAATATTCACTTCCTTAGCTGCAATGTTAAATGTCTGTATGCCATCCTCAGTATCAGCCAAGAGGACGACATCATCTGCATAGCACTCAACCTTGATTTTGTACTTTGTAATGTTTGCCCTGTTCTAATTCTTTTATCCTTATTTTGTCGAACGTTTTGGTTAGATCAATCCATCTAATTCTTTGATACATTTTCGTCAACATTGGGTGATCCGTACATGTCATTCTTCATCTCGTTACTAAATTTCGCCATGCATCATTTGTGTAGGCAACTTTTGCAATCAGGAGGACATGAGCAAACAACCCACTCAAATGTATGTAAACATTTTCTTGCAGAAGATGCAATAAGTATGGTGGTATCAGTTCTAAACAGATGAGAGTAGTTTGGTGTTGCTGTGTAAGATGATTTCTAAAAGGAAAGACTGTACTCTTTGGAGATGATATGATAGCGCGGCCTAAACCAGGGTGTTGGAGGATTGTCTCAGCAGCAGTTTGTATCTGATTTCGCAAATTTTTCTCAGTATTAATTCGGTGACGTACATTATGCTTTTTAAGTGATCCCAAAAAAAAAAACAAGAGGATTAAGGTCGGGCGATCGAGATGGCCAGGCCAATAGATTACCTCGACCTGTCCATCTTCTGGGAAGCACCTTATCTAGATGTCGCCGCATATATCGGATATCTAGGAAATCAAAAATCTTTTACTACAATTTTCTTCACCTATTAGCCATTATTTGAAGTAAGGAATAAATGTCCAAGTTTATGCGTATAAGTTGAGAATCACCCTGTATAGTTTGCAATTCGATTATCCATAAACACTGTAAAAGGAGAAACTACTAGATACACAAACGTTTCTTACTTCCGGACTTTACGGATATAGACGTTGTTGAATTCGTTCTTAATTCCGTAATCAGCAAAAAAAACGTAACTCCAGAAATACTCACTTTGTACAACGTGTTAAAGATTGTACAAGATCCAGCAATAAGAGGTTATAAATAAAGTTTTGGTCTTCGTAGTGCTGCCAACAAAATAACTGCAAAACTTGCTGCTGCTTTGTAGATCATTAGTGCTACAAGTTTTAAAGTTTCCCTTAACAGCCAGATACTTCCTTGAACATGTAGTATCTGTCCAAGTTGAAACATTGCCATGATATTCTACCAATTCAGCTCCAAGTTCCGCTGCGTAAAAGATCGAATTAGTTTCTCATCACGGCGCTATCACTCATTATTAAAACTTTATTTTTTATGTCCAACTAAA